TGCCGCAAAACTGTTGCTATTGTGTTTTTTTCGTTTTGTTTTGTTTTTTTCAACTGTGGCTTGGGTGAAAGTTTACAGAGCGAGTAATTTTCCATTCAACAATTCATACAGCTTTTGTTTCGTAACACTAGTTGCACTCCTCTCAATGTAGCAGCACTTTCCCCAATTCCTCCCTGGGTTTCTGGTTTCCATTCACCCTTCTTTCTGGTCCCTTTCTACCTTCCAAGTTTTGTTTCTGGCCAAAAGCCGCCAATTTGTTCTGAGGAGTGCATTCCTACCCGGTATTGCTGTTCACTTCATAGGCCTCTTTGGGGTCTAAAAGTGGTCCCCAAAGGTGGGATCAATTCAGACTGAAGAGTGTTCAGGTGCCACAATCTCTAGGGTGCGATTAATGTTTCACAGTCCGGTCTATAATTTTCAGTATGGACGCCCACTTTCTCCCACTTTGTCCAGCACCTTCTAATGTAATCCCTCTCAGACTGGCCGGTAGTGACAGCCTGGCATTGTCTAAGTTCACCTGGTCAGGCGGTATAGACTGAGGCTCACAGGTTCCATTAGTCATATGAACTAACGGTGTTCTTAGGTCTTTGATTTTCTTCACTCTTCGTTGCTGGACAGGGGAGAGACCAATTGGTGCCCCTTAAAGAGCGGCTTCCAAGCTTTGAGGGCCTCCATCACTACTCAACAAAGTGCGCTGTAGAACACTGTCTCTGTCAGCTATGTTATGCAAACTGACAGAGATGCTGCTCAAGACGATAGTCCTAACTCGCAAAGGCCAACAACTCATTCTCTCAAGGTGCTTGATTATGATTAAAAATTTTCATATTGTGTTGACCTTCTCCTTATTATATACTGCCAGACTTTCCCTACATCCAAGTTAATAGTCTCCTCTCTAGTTAGCAAATTCCCTACTTGCCCCTCCCTGGCGGAATAACCATGCAAGAATGTTTCTTTCTATGTGTAAAGCTTGACTTTTTATAAATAATGGTTTCATGCATTTGTCCCTTTGAGATTAATTTCTTTTACTCAGCCCAATGTCCTCCAGGTTCATCTATTTAAGGAGGTGGCTCATGGATCCAAGGAGTCTTGGTAGCACAGTGGTTATGTATTGGGCTGCTAACCATAGGGTCAGCAGTTCAAAACCACCAGCCCACTGTGTTACCATTATCATCTCATTCTTGCCTCTTATTTAAATACAGGTCATTCTACACCTGGGAAGAGTTACAATCTCAGAAAGGCTCAAGGGCAGTTCTACTCTGTCCTATAGGGTCACAGTGAGTTGGCATTGACTGTTACGTCACTGTTATCTTTAAGTTTCATGTGTTATTTAGTATGACTTGGTAGGTTATTTTGGGGTCTGGAATGGTCACAATCTTTCCCATCTACATTTATGGCAATTGCTTCTTTCCTTTGCACACTGGCCCAGCGAACAAAAGGAATCCTAGAGCCACTCTACTCACAGGTAGCCAGGGAAACCGGTATCGGGAAGAAAATGGATGATCCAAAGGGTGTCACAACCCACAATTCTAAACTGTATGAAACAAAGAGGAGTGAATCACTGCACCAGGAAACCTACCTTAACTAAAACTGAAACAGACTACAGTTATACTCTCTCTTTTCTTAATCATTTTATTGGGGGCTTGTACATCTCTTATCACAAGCCATACATCCATCCAGTGTGTCAAGCACATTTGTACTTATGTTGCCATCATCATTTTCAAAACATTTTCTTTCTACTTGAGCCCTTGATATTAGCTCATTTTCCCCTCCCTCAAGCTCCTCTATACTTGAATCTATATATGCCATTCTATACTGTATGTATAGACTAGTTATATTCTATATCTAATCACTGTATGTTTATAACAGTTCCCTGACTACTCCATTTCCTTCTCCATGAAAATGACACACAATCTTGTTTTAACTGCCTATTTTATTATTTATTTATTCCTCCACCCCACCCCCGCCTTTTTCAAAAGCAATTTTTAGTGTGATTGATAAAGTTTCACCTCTTCCTTCTTTTAAATTAGAAATAAGAAACACACAGGGGTCAAAGGTGTCTCCAATAGGGAAGGTGAATTCTTTCACTCTCCTTCCTGATTCTTAACCATCACAAATCCGCCTGCATCATCAGGGCTTGCTCTCTCCAGTGAATCCTACCTTCTACTGACTCTGAATTGTACCGGACCAGTCCAGGAAGGCTGCTCCAAAAATCTCTGCTTCTCTGGTCAGTCCAGACACTGCAGCTGTTCCAGGCACCCCTTTCTCTCACCATTGGGTCTGGGTCCAGGGGGCCTGAAGGCAAGCTTGGAAACCTACCTGGCTCCCTCGACTTCAGCCCAGCAGGGACCCTCTCTCTCCTGCCCAGAGAGCCATGTGTGGCTGTCTCAGAGCAGGCAGGTTAAAGGACACATGTGCCAGCCTGTCAAATAGGCAGATGCTAGCCCCTGCTGGCCTCACTGCCTCTGTAGGTTCAATAATTCCCTGAAATTGACTCACACACTGCAGAGAAAAGGCTATCTTCAATATAGCAGAAGGGATCTGAACACATACGGTCAGGCCTGGGAGAGGTCTTGTTACAAAGCTTCCTGGCCT